CCAACCTCAGCCACTCTGGGATTCTGTGAGTGCCCAGGAGCTTTCAAAATAGAGGCATTTGTGCCCACAGAGGTGGAGTCACAGACTGGCTGAGGTGGGAAGGGACCTCTGGAGGTCACTTAGTCCAAGCTGCTGCACAAGCAGGGACAGGGTAGAGTCACAGACATAGATTTTTCCGTGACCAAATATAACCGTGCCCCGGGGCTTTCTTGCTCTTGTTCTACCCTGTCCCTGCTGTGACTCTTCTCAGCAGGTTTATGCTGCAGGTCCTGCTTCTGGAGCACTCATCATCCTCTTCTCCTTCCCCAGACCGGGGCATGGCAAAAGGCAAAACTGAGTCTCCTTGTCCCAGCCTTGTGCTGCAAACGCAGGGCTCCCTGTCCCATATCTCTTCCCCAAAACTCAACTCATTTCACTTATTTCAGATGAGTTCAACCGAGTAATCATTCCAGTGAAGAGAGGTGAAGAGAACACAGACTATGTCAACGCTTCCTTCATTGACGTGAGTCTTCTTTAATCTTCCTTCCACCTTCTCCCGATGGAAACTCTTTACCTCACGCTGCTTCCTATGGAAAGGATTTGTCCCAAAACACTCCCTTCTCTGGGTTTCGTGAGGCTCTTCCCACTTTTCTTCGTGACACCGGGTGGTGCTGGTTTCTTTTCTCCAAGAAACCCCTCGATACCTACCATTTACTGGTGACCCACAGCTGATGGGACAGGAGAGCTGGAGCTCGAGCAGAGCCTCCAAATCCTGCCCTCACTTCTGCAACTCCGGGCTCTGACGATGCTTTTGGAGAAGCGGATGCACGTAGCCGTGGAAGCGATTGCTCTGCGGCCGTGTTTGGTCAGAAAACATCCGCTAGATGAGGTAACGGAGCGATACACGGGCTCCAAAACCCTTGAGAAAAACCGGGTCAATCCCATTACGGCTGTCGGGGTGAGGGGAGGAGGTGAAGCAGGGAGGTTAAACATTTTCCTTGCTCCGAGGAGGAGGTGAGTGATTGCACATCCTTTTCTCATGAGTAATCCTGTTGACTTCTGGGGGACATCTCACATGAGCAATTATCTTGATGCCAGCACTGGCAAAGTGACAGAGCCCGGTTCTTTTCTAGCCCAATTTCTATTTCCATTTCCTAGTACTAGAGGTGGTTTGTTCTCGCCGCAAAGAACAGTTACCACCATGGGTTGAACCAGTAAAGCCAATGTCTTCCCAGTTGTAACATCCCAAATTAATTGCTCCCCGAAATCTCCTTTGCTGAGTCCCCATGGGTTGGCTCTCGTTCTGCACCGAGCTCAGGAAGTTTAAATGTCACGTAAGTGATTTTGGGTGAGGATTTAATTTCCTGCCTCGGCTGAACTTTGCTTAAATGAAAAGCTCCAAATGACGAAGCATCTTCAGTCACAGCCGGCAGTGAGGGCACAAGGGGAACATCAGAAGGGTTTTGGAGATAGAAGGGCTTTGTGGTTGTAAAAGAGCCAGAGCCAACCAGACTTACTGTTGGTTTTCATAGGTCATCGAATGGTTTGGGTCAGAAGGGACCTTAAAGACGATCTAATTCCATCTGGTTTTGCTTATTTCTTCCAAAACTCCTCAGTAAAAACCATACCCAAAGTAACTGATCTAGTTAAAGACATCCCTGCTCACTGCAAGGGGGTTGGACTAGGTGACCTTTAAAGGTCCCTTCCAGCCCAGCACATTGCATGATTCTAACCCTGGTTGTGATTTGCAGGGTTACCGCCAGAAGGACTCCTACATCGCCAGCCAAGGGCCGCTGCAGCACACGATAGAGGACTTCTGGAGGATGATCTGGGAGTGGAAGTCCTGCTCCATAGTGATGCTGACGGAGCTGGAGGAGAGGGGCCAGGTAGGCACCGGGGGGGAGCTGCATTTAAGCACCAGCAAAAATAAACCGGCGCAACCCCTTAAAACCTCCCGAGGGCCCCAGCACCACTCGCATCAGGTGGTTTTTCACCCTTTCTCTGGCAGGAAATCTATTCCAGCCTCTACTTCTAATGCAAAGAATCCCGTTGTTCCTAGACCCAGGGTGGGGAGATGTTCCATAAACCAGCTCCGTGCCCTGAGTTCTCAAAGCACCTTCAGGTGCAGCGGGTGGCCCCTCTCCAAAGCAAGCCTGTTGGTTCCCACCTGGTTTTGGGCAGCTGCCCAGCCCCAGGAGAAGACTTCTGTTCAAGCCCATGTGAAAAATACGGCGTCATCACCCTATCTCTTCCTGTAATGCTTTCTCAGGAGAAGTGTGCCCAGTACTGGCCGTCTGACGGCTCCGTGTCCTACGGAGACATCACCGTGGAGCTGAAAAAAGAGGAGGAGTGTGAGAGCTACACGGTGCGGGATCTGCTGGTGACCAACACCAGGGTAAGTGTCTGGTCTTCTCCCTGCAGGGAGCTCTGGGCACTCTTGGGCTTGGCTGTCGTTAACCCTGGCTGATGTTTCTGGTGCTGTGCAAGTGCTGAGCCTTCCTCCCAGCATCTCCAGCTCCATCATCTCCCCATCATCCCACAGGGACGGCTTTCCTGACCAAGCACTTTCCCCAAAGCCTTGAGCTGGCAGGTTTCTTGATCCGGGTCTCCCACCAGCTTCCCGACCTCGACTTGTCTTCTTCCACCAGGAAAACAAGAGCCGACAGATTCGGCAGTTTCATTTCCACGGCTGGCCAGAAGTTGGGATCCCCGGGGATGGGAAGGGAATGATCAACATCATCGCGGCCGTGCAGAAGCAGCAGCAGCAGTCTGGCAACCACCCAATCACTGTGCACTGCAGGTAAAGCCCAGGGGGAGCAAGGGTTGGCCACCCTCTCCGAGGGGACCTGCTCCACAAGGAGCTTGAGAGATGTTCAAAGGTCCCTCAGAAGGTTTGAGTTGAGCAGGAGCAACCCAGTCACTGTGCACTGAAGGTAGAGCCTGGCTGGAGCAAGGGTTGGCCACCCTCTCCGAGGGGACCTGCTCCAGAAGGAGCTTGGGAGATGGTCAAAGGTCCCTCAGAAGGTTTGAGTTGAGCAGGAGCAACCCAGGTGAATGTGGTTCCTGCTCAACAAAGCAAAGAGGCTTCAGTCTGGTAAAGCACGTCCTGGCTAAACTGGGAGAGGCTGGGGCAGGACCATTGGCTCCTCCGGTTCTCCGGTGGTTCTCCTGTGGCTTGTGCCATGGGAAAAACCAACAGGATCAGGATGGATGGTTCCCTTCACCTGATTTCTCTTTGCCAGTGCCGGAGCAGGAAGAACAGGCACCTTCTGCGCGCTGAGCACTGTCCTGGAAAGGGTGAAAGCAGAAGGGATCCTCGACGTCTTTCAGACGGTGAAGAGTTTAAGGCTACAGAGGCCGCACATGGTGCAGACACTGGTAAGTGCGGCCGAGCACGTCCCACGGTCCTCCTGCCACCTTGGACCTCAACAACACCGGGCTGGGCACTAAGTGTTGAGCCCAAACTTCCTCGGTGGAAGGTTTTCTCTCTCCATGAAAGAGTTAAGGGGTGGAGATGGGTCAGGAGGCATCTCCCCTTCCTCTTGTTAGGATGTCTGGAAGAGGGGAGCTCGGTCAGCTGAAGGCATCGAGCCCCTCTTGAGCACGGACACGAGCTGTAGGGACCTCCTTGGAGACATCCTCAAGCACAGCCCATCTCTTCGTGGTCTCCAGGAGCCTGGAAATCCTGCCCTGCTGGCGTGGCATGGGCTTGGCCCGCAGCAGGCGGGACTAGAGGAGGTCTTGCAGGAAGGCTTTGCAAGGATGCTTAGAGATTTCCAAAAAAATATATATTTTGGGTTCAAAATAAGACCTCAGAGAGGAAGGGGAAAGCAGTTTCTTTCCCTGACGGCCTCACATCGAGGAGGACGAGCAGTTCCTCCCCTTGATCTGGGCTGAGGGCATCTGAGCACGCTTGGTCCCGGCTTGCTGCTGACCTTAAAGTCACACCTCGGGCACGAATTTCCGTGGCCTAACTCTGTTCTCTCCTCAAATCCCGCAGGAACAGTACGAATTCTGCTACAAGGTGGTGCAGGAATACATCGACGCCTTCTCAGACTACGCCAACTTCAAGTGAAGAAGAAAGGAGTCAAAAAAAAAAAAGGAAAAAAAAAAATATCCACGCCCCGAAACACACGACAGAAGAGTTGCCTTCTTTAATATTTTGTAATATTCTGTTTGTTAATATACCCCCCCCCCAAAAAAAAAATATGTGTATATATCTTAACTGTTTTAGAGGTTGGTACCATAAGCTTCATATTAGCTGGAGATTTTATATGTAGCAACGTGGTAGTGCAGATACTGTCGGCTCCTTTTTTTTTTTTTTCCAATGTTTTATTGGGGAATTAAATAGCGTGATGTTTGGATTAATATTGTCATACCATCTCTCTTCGGGAGAGTTGATACGGGCTGTTATTTTGTTTGTAATTTTTTTTTTCTTGAGGGAGTAAAGCCTTTTTTTAAAAAAAAAAAAAAGAAAGAAAAAGATATCCTGGATCTCACCTGAAAAAAAAACACCAAACACGACAACAAAACCCACAACCCCGCAAGCACAAGCAGGGAAATGGTTTGGTATTTTTCTGCTGGTCAAGTCTTCAAAAAAAAAAAAAAGGAGAAAAGAAAACCAAAACAAAGCTTATTCTGTGTGTATGTATATATATAAAAATCTTAATTTTTGTATCAAAAGCAAAAAAAATTTTACTCTTCAGGGTGAGGCCACCACATGCTGCTGCTTTGGAAACCCTCGTGACCAAAGAAAGCAGCGACTGTTGGGATTTCAACCCCTCCAAAAGAAAAAAAACCAAACCCCAGAAAAAAGAAAAGGATTTTTGCTCCCTGAAGGAAATGTCCTGGGTTTGGTGCTGGGTTTTGGGGAAGGGAGTTGGCCCCGAGCTGGGGATCACAGAATCATAGAATTGTCAGGGTTGGAAGGGACCTTAAAGCTCATCTCGTTCCACACCCC